ACAAAGAGGAGTCCGAGAACATCAAAAGCTTCCTAAGCAGCCGGGGGAGCCCTCTATCTGACCCTTAGCAATCGATTTTCAGAGGCAAATGTCAGACAAGTAAGTTCCCTGGATTCCTGCGCTGGGTTTCCTGTGGACTGTCTCAGCTCAAGAGGCTTCCGCTGCACCCTCCCTGGCAGGAGGGCAGCCACGGCTGCAGACAGCCTCTGACCTCCTCTCCAGCCCGGACCAAGCCCCAGGCCCCGAATGCCAGCGGGTGCTCTGTCCCCTCGTTGACGCCCTTCAGGAGGTGGTTCAGCTTGCTGGCCAGAGTCCTGCTCATTCCTCTGTCCTTAGCAGTGGCAAACTGGGCGTGGGCAGCCTCAGGCTGTTCCGGAAACTCTCTGGAGGCCAGGGCTTTGGCCTGGCCACGCGGCCTCGCCCCTCCTCCACCCCGCCTGTCGGAGAGCAGGGCTACGGAAAAGAACCTGTCTACAGTGACCGGGCTCCACATTTTAGTTCTGACTCTCCAAAGCTAGGCAGCCTTTTTTTTTTTTTTTTTTTTTTTAAGATATGTTCTTTAAAAATGTATTACTTTGAAGTAGAAAATTCTGACTGACAGCTAAGTTTTCTCTCTGAGAGAAAGAACAAAGCTTAGCCATTAGGAAAGCCCCCAGCCTCCTTCTTGCAGGAAAACAATCTACATCCTGAGCTCAAACAACTTTACAAAAGACTCACCCTCCCCTTGCTGAACACCGAACTCTGTCCGCAGCCCCCGCGGCATCTTCAGCTCCTGGCGCACGCCGTCGGCACTACTGCAGTCGCGCATGACTGGCTTGTGTGCTGCTTGCCTCCTTGCTTATTTCAACCAATTTCCTAATTAATCCAGTGTCCTAAATCATGGACAGTTGGACTATTTCCAGTTTTTCTCCTGGAAAATCACAGGACCTGTTAAAGACGGCATGTTTGCGTCCCCCAGAATTCCTATGTTGAACTCCAACCCCGCAAAGTGATACTACTTAGAGGTGGGGCCTTGGGAGGAAACTAGGGTTCAGTGAGGTCAGGAGGGTGAGCTCCTGTGATGGGATCAGGGCCCTTATGGGAAGAGACCAGAGCTCCGTCTCTGCCGCGTGAAGTCCCGGCAAGGAGGCGGTCGTCCGTCAGCCGGGGAGAGAGCTCCCCCCAGAACCAAATTTGCCAGCGCCATGCCTCTGAATTTCCAGCATCCAGAACTGAGATATAAATGTCTGCTCTTTCAGCCACCCAGTCTGTGACATTTTGTTGGAGCATCCAGAGTTGACAAAGACAGGGTTCCAAAGTGACATGAACAATGCCAGAGCCCGATCTGGGCCTCCACTATCTGGCTCCCGCTTTTGTTCCGAGAACGGAAAGTGGGGCCACGCCAACGTCACCAAGGTCAGGACTGATGGCGGGGGGAGGGGGCGGGGGGAGCGGGGGGCATGACCGGCTCCTTGATCATGCGGAGAAGGCTTCGGGCTCTGCACCTGGTAGGGGGAGCAGCACACCTGTGACAACAAGGCAGGCAAGGGTAGGCGACCCAAGAGGGACGTAGCTGCAGGACAGCCTCGCGAAGGCGAGCCAGGGCCCGGCGGCACGGTGAGGGCAGACCACGAGGCCGCGCCCCAAGTAGACGAGCGGCACCCGAGTGTCCAAAACCCAAGCCCTTTCCTGAGAGATTCCCCACGGGGTTCCTTTTGTCCAAAAGGTATTTTGAAAAATCCCAGATCTACAGGGAGGTTGGAAGAGCGACAATGAACACTCGCACCCGTCACCTAGAATCGCCTACTGTTAACACCGCACCGCATTTGTGTCTCTCTCTCGCCATACACACCCGCGCGTGTGTGTGGCTGTTTGAATCATAACCCGTCATCCCTAAACGTTTCAGCAGGCATCTTCCAAAGAATGACATTTGTCTACATAACCGCAACTCCAGAAATTGAGCATTGATACGATAAAGTGATCTCAGAGACCATTCATTTGAAAAATGTCCCAATCATCTCCCAGATGTTCTTGAAGCTCCCCACCCCCCACCCTAGCCCAGAAGCCAATCAAAGATCAGGCACTGCATCTGTCTGTCATGTCTCTTGGGTGTCTCCTTTCATCTAGAAGAGTCTCCAGCCTCTTTTGTCTGGTGACACGGGGCAGCTGCCTTGAAGGAAGTCTGAGTAGAGCCAGGACCTGAGGGTCCAGATGCCTGGGTTCTGGCACAGACACAGCAATTTAACACGAGCACGGCTTGAGCACCCCTTGACCTTCGCCCTTGACCGTTGTCTGGGAATCCTCAAACGTAGCCTTACTAGAGCCCACGCCTCCATGAGGCAAGAAGCCTGGCAACCCTACACTCCCAGCCTAACACCAGCACCAAGAAGCACTGCCTGCTGGCCTTCGCAGGGGCCGCCGTTCTTGGGGACGGGGCGGCAGGCCTGCCCCGCTTGCTGCCTCCACTGACCACCCCCACACCCATGCCTGGGAGAGACGCAGCAAAGGGGCGGTTCCCATGCTCTGACTCCGCTCTGGCCTCCCTGCCCTGGCCTGGCCGATCACCCACCCCCACGTCTCCAGTCCCTGCTCAGTGTCCCAGCCTGTCAAGGGCCCTCACGCTACTTTGTTCCCCAGCACCACGGGGACACTCCAGCGACCCACGGCCGCCTCAGAAGGCTGCTGCTTTGGGCTCCAGATCCTTCTCAATAATCAGCTTTGTGAGTCGAGGCAGCAGCTGCCCCAGGCCTGGGGGCGGGGTGCTGGCAGGAAGGGAGCCCATTCGGATTAGAAGGGATGCAGTTAATGGAAAGGCAGGGGGAGGGGAGAGGTGAGTTAAGTGCTGGAGTTAAGTGCTGCTCTCCGGGCAGTGACTTCCGGCCCCCCCCTCCGCTGCGGACCTTCGCTTAGTGAGAGGCCAGGAGGCTGGCCGCCGGCCTCACCCCTGCTTCCCCTGGGCTGACTTATTTCCCCCAGGGGTGCTTCAGGCTCGGGGAGCGAGCTGATCAGAGGAGGGCACGGGCCTGCTCCTGAAATGCGCAAGTGCACTTCCAGACAACTTCTTAGCCTCTTCCCTCCAGAGGTAACCCCACCACTGGGAGGCAGGGGAGTTAGGGGACAGTGGCTCTCTGTGTGCTCCCCTCCCCCAGCACCTGAGCCCAGGCCCTTATGCTCAGCAATGACTTGATAGTTGCCAGCTGCAGTTACGGGGCGCTGGATGGCCCAGAAAGGGCTGGGGACCTGACCCCAGAGGGGAAGGGCGAGCCCACTGAGTGAGGGAGCCACCCCGTGGCCCTCTGTAAGGTGCCCTGTCCTTCGAGGCCCCCCTCCCCCGCCACAGGACCATGACACGCGTCCTCCCAGCGGCAGGCTGTGCTGTGGCTGCTACTGAAACAGCACAGAACCCAGGCCATTAGGTGTCCCACTGCAGAGGCCCAGGGCCCTGCAGGAAGTCCTCTCAGAAGCACAGCAACCCGGAGGGTCAAGACGGGGCAGGGCGCCACCAACGGGCATTTTAAACTTCAGTCTAGAAGCTGCCACTGGGCAATGAAGGGCCACCGTGTGAACTGTAGGAGCAGGGTGGATGGAGAGCAAGCCGCAGCCTGAGAACAGCCCACCCCTCTCCGTTCCCAAGAGGCCTGAGCACAGGCAGGAATCCCAAGAACGGGAGCAGACCCCACTGCCACCGCCACCAGGGAGGCCAGCAAGAGCAGGGGGGGCCTCAGCCCCCCTGGACCCAGAACCACTGTCTGTCCTGTGCTGAACACAGCAGCCCTCCTCACGCTGGCCAGAATCCGCGCTAATGACACAATTAGTCACCTGCTTGTCAAGCAAAGCACCTGCTCAGAGGGGGTCTGGTACACTTACTCCACAGAGAGAAAAGCTGCTGCCAGCCTGGCTGCTCCCCTCCCCCGCCCCCGGATTCTCTCCAGTGTAACCATCGAGTCCAGCAAAATTCAGAGCGGGCACTGCACACACGCTGAAAATGCACCAAAGCCGCTTACTCCTGGTTTCCCCGCCCTGGCCGTCCTCCAAGAGCAGGAGCTCAGGAGAGAGAACCAAGCTTTCTGATCAGACCGGGGCCCTCCGTCGTGGCCTGGAGGGTTCACGGTGCTGAAATCCCGGGACCGTGCCTGGGCTTCCGCCTGGCGCGCAGGGTTCCAATTTAAAGAGGGGCTTGGGCAAGTGTATGGGGCTGGGGTTGAGTGCTGGCGAGATACAAGACGCCTCTCTAGGTGCCCTGCGGCAACACAGGGGTCAGGACGGAGCTGGCTGATGGGCAGAGCCGATGGACGCGGCCCGCAGTGGGCTTGGGCACCAGCAGGAGCGCGAGTGGGGGACGCTCAGCTGGGCTGCAGGAGCTTGTCTGGCTTCTTCGCTCCACACCGGCCAGGCGGATCTGCTTCCCCAGGGGAGACCTGCCAGGGCGCAGGTGCAGTTTGAAAACGACAATAAGAATGGCTGCGACTGTCCGGTGCCTTGTCTCTCAGTCCCACCCCACGCAACATGACATCACCGACTCTGGAATCTGGCATTCGAATTGGCCTACAAAGAAAAGGCAGCTTCCCTTTCTTTTTCTTTAAGTATTACTGTTTTTCTCACAAGCAAGACAACTCTCATTACCCGCCTTGGAATACACCACTTGCACGTGGAGTGGGAACCCGTGGGCTGGAGGGGTGGGGCGTGCGTCCCGGGAGTGAAGCTGCGGCGAAGCAGCGACCGTACGGGGGAGCAGGGCGCCGGGCTCGGAGGCGCCGCGAAGAGGAAAGCAAGCAAAACAACAAAACACAACTCCGACAGGCTCGTCTCTGGGCGACACTTTCGGGAGCAGGACGGTGCGTTTGCTCGCCGACCCTCCTTTCCTGCCGGACGCGGGCTCTGCCCTCTTGGGGGTCGCCCCGCCTGAGGCCGGAGACCCGGTTTCCCAGCTCCGCAAGGGGCGGCAGAGGCGGCAGGAGTGGCGAGAGCCAGGGAAGGGGCCGGGGTCGGGTCGGGGGCCGGGTCCGGGGCCGGGTCCGTACCTGCTTCGCCTCGGCGGCCTTTTCCTCCGCCTCCACCGGCCCTGCGGGCTCCTCCCGCTCCTCGGGCGCGGCCGCCGGCTCCGGGGCTCCGGAGCTGGGCGGCGCGGAGGTCCGGCTGGCCTCGGCCGGGGGCGCGGGTTCCGGGGACGCGCCGGCGGGGTCCGAGCTCGCGGCCGGTGCGCGCCGCACCAGCAGCCAGGCGAGCAGCAGCGCCAGCACGGTGGCCAGCGCCGGTAGCGCGGCCAGCAGCTCCGCCGGCGCCTCCATCGCGCCGCGGCGGCAGGAGTACGCGCCCGCGGGAACCCGAGGGAGCCTTAGCGCCGCGCCCTGCCCCGCCCCGCCTGGGGCGGAGCCCCGCCTTGCCCGGCCCCTGCCCCCGATTTCTCCGCCCCCTGGGGTGGCAGACCCTGTGGGCGGGAACCCTGAGCCTTTGGGAAGCGCATCTGAGGCTGGAGGAGGGTCAATCCTTCTTTGCCCCAGGGAGACCTGACGCTTTGAAAACTGGTCAGAACTCATCGCTCAGGTGCCGTTAACTTGTTGGCATCTTTGGGCATCATTTTAGCCCCGCGCTGAGGGCCGACTTCCAGCGTTTCGGAATGGAAGCGCTAGTTTGGGCCAAATAAAGCCAGGGGGGCTCCTGTAAACGGCCCTAGGCTTCCTGCCGAACAACGGACAACCCAGACCGCACAGCCACCCCGCTCACTTTTAGCCACTTTATGGACATGGGACAGAAGGCTCTTCTGTATGGCTGCCCTGAGTCATTTTCACAAAGAGGCCATTTCCCAGCCACTGAACGCCCCTTCGGGGCTGAGACCCGGCAGCCTTCAACACGCACGGCCTCTGTGTGAAGAGCTGCTCCCCCAAAGACAGGTTTTTGGAGCTCAGCTCCAGCTGCGGGGGGGCCAGCTCTGTGTCTCGTTTCGAACCCTCTTTGCATGATCCTGGATGTCTGGGAGGGCAGAATGAGGTAAAGGAAGTCTCCTGTTCTTCTTTCTCCAATCCTTCCAGGGTCTGTGGCTGAACCGTGTATATTTAAGATAAATATGTTATTACCCAAAACATGATGTCTTTACCACTCCGAACGCCCCACTGTAGTTATTTTAAATAAACATGGGGCTGGCCAAGTTTGTCAGGTGCCATGGGAAACACAAGGCCTCCTTTTGAGAAAATAGAGCCCCAGTTTTTGCTGTAGGTGCATTTAATAGTTTTGGAGAAACTGCCATGGCTGCACTGACATCTGATGTGAGCTAAGCTGCTAGTGGAGGGCTTCCTTTTAAATGGAAGGTACAAGTCTGTCCTTGGCTTCCTCATGAGCTCCGGTCAAGACGAACAGGATTCCATGACATCGTGAGAGCTCAGTCCTGCGGCACCCATAATATTAAGGGGAACAGGCCAAATAAAAAACAAACAAAACTTCAGAGCTGGTTGATGAAAATGGCCCACAACTGTTACATGGGAAATGAGGCTTGCCTCTCAGCCACTGGCTTTTGACCACTGGGGGACTTTCAGCCAAAGTGTTTAGGCCTTATTTTTGTCCCTGTCCCTACTGTTTTAAAATATATATTTAAGAAGACCTATTGTGGAGGCAAAAACTCAGTTACCGTGAAAAGAAACGAGGATAAAACAATACAAAAAACCCAACTCCAAGTTGCTTTATTTAAAACGATGAACAAGTTTCATCCAAGTGAATGTTAAAAATACCAGTCCGGGGGCAGACCCACCGCGAGAGGGAGCCGGGTGCGGGCTGCTCAGAGGTGTGCTGGGCGGCAACAGGGGCTCCGGGCACGCAGCAGGCGGTCCCAGGTCGTCGGCCGCGCCCAGCCCCCTGAGAGGCAGTGAGCCCCGCCGGCTCTCCGGGGGGTGTCAGTGGGGTGGGTGTCCCGAGGTTTTGAACGAACAATGAGACAGCCCTGAGGGCCGCCACCTGAGGACACGGAACACGCGCGATAGCTTATTTGGGGAAGGGCTCCATACCACTCCAGGAACCTGAGCTGCCTGCATATATGCCCACCTCCTAGACAGCACTTTCTACAACATCTATGTAGAACTCCTGTTCCATCCTACACTCTTGTCTGACGTCCTGAATCACACCAACGCTGAGCCTCAAATAAGTCTGTAAAGTGCTTCCACTAAAAACCTGCTTGCTGGTCCTTAAGGACCTTCAGTTCATGTGCAGAGAAGCCACACCAGGTTAGGAAGATGGGTCCTTTTATGAAGACCTCACACACGTGCGTTCGGTAGGGACTTCCACACGCGGCTGCCCAGACCAGCAGCCCCGGGAGCGGCACCCTCGCTGCCCCAGAGACTCGGCCAGGCCAGGCGCCCGGCTCGGCACGGCTGTGCCTCCAGAACCAAGGAGAGTGCCTGGCAGGCAGATGGCGGCTGGATGCTTGATGTTTAATAAACGGGCGTGTGCAGACCTGAATGAAGTGTGATCCGTGTTCCTGTTTGGGTGGCTGTCCCCTGAAAGGTGTCACCTTTGACAGCACAGATCTCCTGGAGACCCCGGAGGCTTCAGGGTGACGGAGAGGCCATGGACACCTCTCCCGTTCCCAAAGACCAGGACCCCCTTGATGCCCCGGGGTCCCGGGTCCCTGCTCGCCACACCCCTCTCTTCCTCCTGGACAGTCGTGTGGTCCCAGGTCCTTCCTCTCGGGACCCAGCTTGTTGGTGTTAAAATTAGCTGGGGAATGGTCCTTGAAAACAGTTGTGCCCTTCACTGCTGTTGACCCCACTTAGAGGAGCAGCTCAAGCCAGGCAGGTAGAGGGCTCACTGCACCCCTTGTTCCCGGTCCTCTTTGGTCCTGACTGCCCAGCCCCGACTCCGCTCCTTCGTTGCAGTCTCCCCATCTCACCCCCAATCCCTTATTTCTGGATGTTGCTTATCAAACAGGGGTCACTTTTGGCATCTGGGGAAAGCAAACAGGGTGGCTCATCTCTTAAGTGCAAATCGCCAGGGGACCATCCCTGCCACTGCTCCGTCTCACTACGCCCCCTGGCGGCAAACAGCCTCTTGGTTGCTTTAAAGTGATTTAGAGAGAAGCCCTTGGTGTGAGTTTGAGAAGGTGAGTGTGAATGCTGGTTAGCAATCCTGGGGGGAAGGTAAAAGCACTGTGAGGATAGAAAGAAAAGTTAAAAAGGAGAAGGAGGAACACCGTTCAGATAGTAACACAAAAAGATTATGGCTTCAGGGTTTGACTCTGCTCTCACCCAAGCACAGGCCGGGCCCCCCTGGCACTGGGGGCCCTGCTGCCTGGCGGGGGAGGGGAGGGCAGCAGCAGGCAGGGAGAGGGCCAGGTGCCGAGGGCAGGAAGGGAGCCGCGTTCCATCCAGCCGGCCACATACTTAGGTTGGCGCTTTGGGATACAGAGAACTGGACTAAGACACAATAGGGACAAGCCTCCTACAGAAAAGTCACATGAACAACCCAGTGTCAGGAATGCTACGCAATTCGTTAAAAACGTCACACTTGGCAAAGATGACTGGATTCACCTGATTACATCCATTTTTTTAGGAGGGATTTTGGGAGGCGCCGGCACATGATGCCAGCCTGTGCACACAGACTGTGCCTTACCTGCATTCCAACCCGCAAGGTGCTTTAACCCCCTTATTTTTATTTAAATGAGGGACAGATTAAGGCAAGCAGATGCTTAACAAGAGATAGAGCCCGTTGGTCAATCCCCAGGTGTTTGTGTGAGAACCTGCTAGAAGCCGGAACAGCTCCCCAAGAGCAGGAGCAGCACCTCTGAATTTGTTCCTGGGTGTAACACAAGCCACCCACCGGATGCCTTGCAGGTGGGACCAACAGGGGCGCTGGCCCTGAAATCCCTCACGGCCTCGGAGAGCTTCTGACTTTGGATCACGCGATGGGGGAGAACAGGGCGGGTCTCGCAGAACTCGGCGCTGACCATCACGTTCCGTCCTGTGATGAGCACACGGTGCACACTTCTCCCACTCCGTTCCTAAGCGACCAAGCCAGATGTCGGCTGTCCCCACAGTATGCCACCCAGAAGTACCCCTGGAATTTAACAGCCTCTCTGACGGTGGAGAAAAGATAACGAATCACAGATGGTACCAGGCAGCAGCGACGGGTGCCGGGCACGCTGGCGGGGTCAGTGTGTGGCAGATGAATAGCGACAGACACCGGGACGCAGCAGCCTCACAGCGCTTCTCCCGTGTAACTGGTTACTCCCACAAAAACTCAAGTCCACCCGCTCGTCAGTGTCTCCGTGTCCACGCAGCTGGCTCTGGGGACAGTGCAAATTCCTCCCCAACATCAAGGATTACAGCCCGCCAGCCTCGTGGTCGACCGGCTTGGTCTCAAAGGAGACGCGCCGAAGCCTCTCACCCAACATCACGCAGCCTTCGCTGCTCCACTGAGCGGGCCGCTCGTTCCACTTCTTGACAATTCTTGCTGAGCAGTGAAAACTGCCCTTGACTGTAGACAGAAGCTGGGACCGGAGAGGGATGATCCCAATTCCAGCAACACACGGGAAGGGCGGAGCCGACGTGGAAACTCAACCGGGTGGCCACCACAGCCGAGGAGAGCGCCACCTCGGGGTTCCGCCAGCGTCCCTAACCCGCCAGGGAAAGGGCACCTGCCCGTGGTCAGTGCGTGGACGGCACAGCTGTGCGCAAAGCAGGAGGGCGATGCCACAGCAGGCCCCACGGGCCCCCACGTGGAAGCGACGGCGGGACTCCCTCTAAATTTTTCTTACAAAGGCAGAGGCGCGCCTCACGGGCAGCCAAGCTCCACAATAGCGGAAGCCTGGGCACAGTGTGCGAAGGGCGCCTCGGGCTGGGAGACGCACAAGCAAGCCCGGTCAGGGCACTAGGATACGGCACCTGAGTTTTCCCGTGGAATTCCGACCGGGCCACAGAGAACGAGGACAAACGACAGAAGGGAACGCAGCCGCTCACAGATATGCAGCGGCCAGGAGCAACGCTGCCCAGGCAGCAGCTAAGGATGCCAGGCTCTTGCGCTCGTGAACGCCGGGCCCTCGCTGTCTTCCCAAAGCCTCCCCCGTCTCCGTGCGGACACACGGAGCGCAGGGCCTGGGGCCCACGGACCCGGGCGCCCGAGCCACCAGACGTCCCTGTGCGCTGGCGACGTGCCTGGCACCAGGGCAGGTGCCCGCACAGGCTCTCCCTCACTGATTTCACTTTAAGGTTTAAGTTATTTCAATCAAGTCTGGTTTTTAAACATTGGAGACATGATTAAGATTTTATTAAAAAAACGTGAGGTTTCTGCTTTCGTCCGGCTTGGACCAACCATCCAAGCGGCCACGACAGAGCGGGAGGAAGGGCCACGCCTCAGGCCTGGGACGCTGGGCAGGCCCCGGCCTTCCCCTTGGTGCTGCGACGTCCCCAGCAAGGGTGCGGAGCTGTGCGGTCACTCCTTCCCCCGAGAACATGACGAGAGAGCAACACAGGAAGGTTCTGGTACTCTCAATGAAAAAATAATCAGAGCTATAAAATGCGTCTCACTTTTATTAAATAGTGCACGGGCTGCCTCGGCACCGCCCACACAGAGCGTTGCCTCTGCGCACACAGCACGTGGGCTTGCGCCGGGAGCAGACACAGAGCCGCTGCGCAAACGCTAAGTGAGGGGGTCATCCCAGGCGCGGCCTCGTTCTCTGGCTCCTGCCGGCCCTCCCTGCGTTTGCAGGGGCCGACAGGCCGCCCTCCCTGGGCCCTGCCGCGGGCCGCAGCGTGTCCTCCGACGCAGACCGGCGCCGTGGTTGGTCACCTGGAGGAGCTGCGCTCTTTGCTCACGCAGTCGTCCTGGGAGGCGGTGTCCCCGTTGCCCACCATGCTGCAGGTCCTCCTCTTCTTCCTGCGGTGCGCTGTGCCGTCGCCCTCAGACCCCGACTCGCACTGGGCACAGGAGGGAAACAGGAGTTCAGCCTGGACCGAACGTCCGACCTCAGGCGACAGCCCCCATGCTGCCCGCTCTCCCCCGGAGCAGAGCAGTGGCCTGTGGCCGCTCCACAACCCCGCGCCCAGCCCCTGCCTCCCCCCCCCCCGCAGACCATCCATAAAATGTGCCCGCCCCGCTCCCACCCAGGGGAAAGATGGAGTCAGTAGGGTGTGCGGTTGGGGAACAGAAATCTCATCTGCTAAGGGTGCAGGACCCTCTCACCCAGTATTAGCGTAGCTTTGGGCAAGCCTCTGAATTTTGGGTTTCTAGGCTCACAATTTACCACCCACAGGAAAAATTCTTAGCCTGGACTTTGAGCTCAGAATGCTCGGAGTCCGGGTTTCCGACACTGCTGTCTGCTGGCTGTGTGATCCGGGCTGTTTACTTACTGAGACCCTCAACTACTCCTTTAACCTCCTAAGGCTATTGTAACGATATTCTCTCCCCCCCCCCCCCCCCACACACACATGCACGTGCGCACACAGAGCCACCAAATGGGCAAAGGTCACTCCACAGCAGGAATGACGGCAGCTGGACTTCCCAAGGGAGTCGCCTCTGGTTTCTGTCAGGGGACCGGCCCTGGAGGCCTGGTGAGGGAGCGGGCCTCACCTCTGAGTCCGAGTCGGACGAGCTGGAGCTGGAGGAGCTGGACGAGTCGCTGGAGCTGTCCGAGGCGATCCCTGTGGATTCCTGAAGGTCAACAGAGTCCGCCAGGACCGCCAGCTCGGGGCGCTCCTGTTTCAAGATCCTGAGGCACAAGAAACGCAGTCCTCAGTGCTGGGACAGGCAGCGACGGCCACGCACAACAGTCCAGACTCAGCGTGGAGGCGGGCCCCTCTCAGAGGCGCCCGGGAACGCCAGGTGCCCGTGCGGAAGGAGGGCCGCAGAGTGGCGAGGATACGCGGATTCTCAGGCCGAGAGCGAACGCCCTACGCGCTGCTCGGTCAGGCTGTTCCCAGGGAAGGCAGCTCCGCGTGACTTCTCGCCACTGCGCTGGGCCGAGGCGCACCCGCTGTGAGGCAGCGGCGCCTGGGCTTAGTCTGTTTTTGCCCCTGGGGAGGAAGTCTCTCGTCCTCATTTCTTCCCTGAACCTTTTCTAGCTAATTTTTTTTTAACCTTCCTATCCACAGCACAGCACTTAATGGTTGGAGTTGGGCTTGGTGAGATTCTGCTCGTAAGAGGAAACGACTAGGTCTGTAAGATGTGTCGAGTAACAGTGGGTCCCCTCACTTGGGGACGAAACTGCGCTGGATGGTCGGAGGTGGCAGACCCCCAGGACCTGCTGCGGTGTCTGCTGTGGCCCGGGATGAGGCCCTGCGGCAGGCGAGGCCGACGGCGCCGCGGCAGCCTGCCGGGGGGAGTGGGCCTCGGGGCCCGAGAGCCAGCCTGCGGCCCTCGGCGGGGGCTGAGCACTGACCCAGCCGGAACCCCCCTCTTACCCCAGAGCCGGTCCCTCCAGGTCAGGGTTGGGACACAGAGGCACGGGTGGCTGGGGTGGCGTGCACTGCCGCTGCCCGTGCTGTGTCTGTTCTGTGGATAAACAGAGGAGCTAAGTCTCCGGGCAGTGACCTCGCTCACAAGAACTGAAGGTGGTAAGTTCAAATGGGAATAACGCTTCTGGGTAAGAAAAAGAAACCACCCAAATAAAACCCAAACAAAACGACTTCCTCTGCTTGGGCTAGCTCGGGGGGTGAAAAATCAAAACCAAAAACCAAAAAAATAAAAAAAAACCAACCAAAAACAGAAAACGAGGAACAATCCCAATTACGACGTTTTGACTGACTGGCTCTGACTGAGCATGCAGCGCCTCCGCCTGTCCCCTGAGGCTGGCCAGCACCCGGACGAGCCCTGACCTCGGGCCCGCTCTCCGCCACCTGAGAGCTCCTGCAGCCCGGCTTCGCCGGGCCTGTCTGACCTCGGCACGCGTCACCGCGGCGGTGGGCTCTTTCCATTTTATCTCTGTGGCAGACGTCAGAACAAGCAAAAATAAGAAGAAAACGTCTCTCACCTATACCATTTCCTGGACAACTTTGGTCTCCCTCTTACCGTCTTGTGCCATACAACAGGGAAGTTGGTGCTGCTGGCAAAATTCTGGGTGATGGCAATGGTAGTATCAAGATTGAGGACGACGTGCCACCAGCCTCCTGAAATCCAACAAGTGAAGAGTTCAGCAGGGCCGGGCCCTAGCCACCACTGTAACGCCAACTCCACGGAACATCTAGCGGGGACTTCAGCAGCAGGGATTCCCAGCTGCGAGGGAGAGCCTGGGAGACAGGCTGCCGCGTGCACGCGCTCCTGGTCGGGGGCCGGCGGCGGGGGGGAGGGTGGCACAAGGGACCTGCCTATGTCCTGTTTTACTGCAGCAGGGCTGTGCCTGCTTGTTTTGGGATTGCCTACAGCTGCCGTCCTGGTATAGGAGCAGAAAAAGTGTCTCCTCTCCTGCTCGCCTGAAGCTGTGACCCAAACCATAAAGGCAGCCAGTTCTTCGGCCTCTAGCAGGAGGACGCCTGACCGAAATACCTGTATTCCCCACACCTGACGTCTCAGCGACATCGAGTGTGGGGCTGATCTCCTGCCTCTAGGTTCCAAGTCACTGTTTCCTGACTCAGCCCACCCATTGCTACGTTTTATCAAAACCCCAATTTAGAGAACTTACAGAAGACACTAAGTAAACACTGAGGTGGTGGGGAGGAGTGAGTAGGAACTTTACATGCAGAAAGTTTATCAAGAGTCATTATGTATTTAGGTGATAAGTGGACAGCAGCCCCCTAAAAACCTGCCAGCACAGTGACCTGTCACTCGCTGTCGGAGGCGGGCGTGGGCCAGTCCATTCAGTCCGCAGGCAGTGGGATTTCTCTGACTCACTCTATAGGCCGTTCTGCTCCAAAATGACAAATCACTAAATTCAAGGAAAGAGCCTGTTTCAGCTCGTCTATACCTGGTACAAAGACAGTCTCTCCTGGTTTTTGTAAGATTTCCAGGGGTTTGAATTCAGGTGGCCAGGTTGGAAGCTGTGTCCGGGGATAAATGACATTAAACCAGGTAATAGCTTCATCTTGCTGGTTCCCTCCTTCTTCGCGGGTCACCTTGATGAGCTCCCTGGGCGTGCTGGTGGGGAACAGGCACCAGCGCTTGTGGCCCTGAACCAAGGCATTCCAGGCACTGGTTCCCAGGGGGTCGATGTGAATTCCGGTTCCAGAGCGTGGCGGCCCCATCACAAACCACCTGAAGGACAGACAGATCCAAGACATAAAGAGAAATTAAACCACACACACAGACAGGCAACACAAAATAAGTATGCAATTTTACATAGTGCATTATGCTACCTTTGTTCCAAAGACTACACAAGTTTTGGGACATAAAAATGCCGAACTGTGCATGCACTGATCCCTAACAGGAAAAAAGAAAAATCCGTGCGGTGGCTTAGTGCTAGGCTAGAAAGCCGCAGCTGACCAAACGGGCTGCCACACGTGGTTGTAGAGGAGACTGCCACGGCGCCTCACCTGTACGGGGGCCTGCGCTTCTCCCCTGCGTACTGGAAAAGGTCGTCAGTGAAGAACTTGGGCACCTTGTAGTCTTCCAAAAGTTTCCTTCTTTTGGGATGTTCACCGTAGCTACTGTCAAAAATGTAAAGGGGGCTGTCATCTCGAGTGCTCTCCATATACTCGATGTAGTATTTCATCTTCATCTTCACGGAATAGCCATCGTTATCCTCCCCACACTTGAACTTCTGGTTCCGGTACTTCCTTTTTAGGCGTTCCAGAGTCCATTTCTCCTGCGCAGACCAGCCCTCCTGGGCATTGAGCAGAACCACGGGCTTGTAAGGTCTTTCATATCGCTCTACAAATTCCTCCACCGACAGCTGTAATGCATCTGCCCTCTCCACATTATCCTGAGAGAATCAGAAAAGATCTACCCAGTTAAAAAAAAAATTTTTTTTCAGGCAAATAAGGGTGTCCCCAGGGCCAATTAACAATGATATATCTAACGAGCCAAATTTTTGTTCTGGCTTCGCCGCGGGGGGTGGGGGGAGGACCTGCGTGAGTTCGAGCACGTTGTAGCCTAAGCCACCGCGCCAAGGGTGGCTTCGCATCTCCCACTTCTGTGGCCTTTGACAGCCAGGTCCCCGAGGGCCCCGCCGTCCAAGGAGATCAAGGGGCGACAGGACTTCTCTTTAAGGGCGCCAAAAACGTGAGAGTCCAGTTGCCCGCGCAGGGGAAGAAGAAAACCCTCCCTGGAATCGCGGCCCCGATGACCCTGATCTCCGCGAGGTGCGGGTGAGCCCATCGGAATCCCGGGGTGCCGCGCTGCGCGCGGGAGCGCTGTGCCCCGGCAGAGGTGCGCGACCGCCCGGGGACACCCGTGCTCGGCCCGCGATCCCCGCGCGCTCACCGCTACGGCCGCCGGGTTCAGCGAGAAGCTCTCGTAGTAGTTGTGCCGGGTCCAGTCCAGCGAGTCCTTCAACTCCGGTCGCGCACTCCGCTTGGCCTCGCGGATCCGCTTCTTGCTCTTGTGGTTCATCCTGCGGGGGTCACCAGCTGGTTCCGCGACGACCTCGGCGCAGCTCGCTTCCGGCCACCAACGCGCCCCTTCCCGACCCAGGCGGCGGCCGCACTTAAACGCCCTACGCCTTTAAAGCCGCCTTCGAGAAAATTCACTCCCCGACCACCTCCCGGGCTTCGGGTTGGGCGTGTGGCTGCCGTCTTCCCCGCCCCCCGGCCTCTCGCGGTCGGCCATTGGCCTCGGCGCCTCCAGGGTCCGCCTTTACAAACGCCGGGTTTCCGCCATGTTGGGGAGGTCAGGCCTGCCAAGGAGCCGTCTCACCGCGGCCGTCTCTTCACGCCTGCTTCCGGTTACGTCATCTCCGGCAGCGCGCAGCATTTCCGCTTCCAACTTCCGCTGGCGTGCTGTGCTGGTCCCCTGTTCTCTGTCTCCTTTACCTACCTCCTGGTGGTTCTGCCCTTGCTGCTGCTCTCTTGCCCGAGGGGTGCTTTTCCTCTTCTTGCTGCAGGGTTTTAGGGACCCAACGGGCCCCCCGCGCAGGACCACGTGGTGCCGGGGAGCGACCCTCTTAGGCCCAGGGGACCCGAGCGTCAAGGCTGGCGGCCCGGCGCCGTCCGCCGCTGCCGGCCCACGTGGGGACCACCGACTCTCTCCTGGGCGGCCCTGGCCTCCGAGGGCATGTGGTCCTCACCCAGCGCTTTCGGTTCTCGGAGGAGCAGGGCCTGGGAGCGGAGGGGGCCGTGCTGGAGGTGTGCGTCCCGCAGGTGCGTGCAGCGGCACCCGCTAGGAAGCGTCTCCAGGCCTTTACGCCCTACTTACCTCAGGAGCAGTTCTCAGCCCATCTGGGTCGGGTGGGTGGTGGCGGTCGCGGCTTCCTGACTTAGGGTGGACAGAGCGGAACGTTTGGTATGAAGCCTTTGGACATGTCTTTCAGTAAGGAATCTGGGGACGTCGCTAGCCAGGGAGCCTCGCCACACTGGATATTCCTGCCATAAAAGTGGAATTCTTGATACCCAGTATTTCCTTTGATCTTGTTGAAGGGCTTAATTAATCTTTACCTGGGACCGGAGGTTCTAACCCTCTCTGCCCAAGTAAAGTTTTTGGGTTGGGACATCTTTCAGCTCAACGGTTGTCCCCAAAACTCGTAATTGTACTTTGTGTGTCCGATGTCTCAAAGCATTTTCACGTTGTAGTGTTTGATTTTAACAGCAGCCTGTGACGTAGGTATTAGGAATAATAGTTTAAAAATAAAAAAACAGCTCAAGCGGAACCTATTTCTAATAGTTTCTAATGCCTTTACGCTGAAATAACCATTTAGATTTCTTCCCAAACTTAAGGAGTGAAGATACTCCCTGTGAGTAGAAAGACCTCTTCTTTAGACCCAAGTCTGCACGGCTCTGGTCAGAAATCCTTCGGTGCCCTCCTGGGTAAAATCTACCAGGTCAGGCATTTTTGTCTCTCATTCATGCTGTACACCCTGCAGTTAAGACAATACCTCGCATATTTTAGGCACTAATATTTTTGTGGAATGGCTTAAGTTCAGACCTTAGCTCCTTCACCTTCGATATTTTTATAACTTCAGCCCCTTTCCTACCACCCCACTAGGGGCACCCTTTATTCTAGAAAACAAAGATTTGCAGTTTAATAATTGCTAACTTTGTATGCTTATTTTGTGCTTGGTACTGTATTAAGTAGTTTGCACTGAATATTCCTAATCAGGCTATGAGATAGTATTTTGTAATTGAGGGAACTAAAGCACAGACTTAAGGAACGAGAGTGAGGTCACAGAGCTAGTAAATTCCAGATCTGGAGGTTGAACTTGGGCAGGCTCATGCAGAATTGTGAGCTATGTTGTCTTGCGTAGCTCAATACCATGCTCTCGCAACTCTGCCTTTTCAAAGGCTTTGTAAACTTGCCTGCCTTCCTAACTCCAGGATTCAGGTCCACTCAAAGCTCTTCCTGGATGTCTTCCTAGGACCACATCGTTTCCCATTAGCCTACCAAGGCATGCGTGTGCCTAAAACCCTCCAGTATCTTCATGCATTTAAAATATAAAGCTAAAAACACAATAAAAAATAAACTTAAAAAATAATACAGGAGCCAAACTTCCTGCGGCCTGTAGGACCCCACACATCTGGCCCCGCCCTCCCTGTGAGCTCTGCGCACTACAAAGCCCTGCCTCCACCCCACAAGCCTGGGTTCTCTGTTGTCCAGCGAGGAGCTTCAGTTCTGGCTTTGGGGCCTTTGTCTGAATCATCCCCTCTCCCTATCTAGGGCAGCCACCTTGTGGTTATTGTCCCCGCACCCGCCCAGCCCCTGGCCAGCACGCTCACATCACCCTGTTTTACTGTGTTGATAGCATTCTCACAAACCAACAATACTTTTATTTGCTTACTTGTTGCCTGTCTCTCCCTAGTGGGGTATATATGCTCCACGGGAGTTCCATCTTCAGCCTAGAATAGCTATTAAGCCGCTAAGTCCCTAAATAAATGCTTATTGAATAAATAAATAATGAGTGCTTATTACTACATGGTATTGCAGTTTATGCCCTCCCATACGGTCTGAATTGGAGAGCAGGGAACAGTCACCTTGTGATGGGCGCCAGTGCCACTCAGCCGTTGTGTAAGTATTAAGACTCTAGCAGGTGAGTTATTTACGATGCACAAACATTCTTTTCAGGTCCTGCATCTTCAGTACGGAATGTACGTATGGCCCTGTGCTGTGGTCCTGGCCCAGTACCTGTGGTTTCACAGAAGCTCTCTCCCAGGCAAGGCTATCTTAGAGGTAAACGTGCCCTCAAGGTTTCAAAGCCCACGCTCAGATTGAAGTCTACGTGCCATTCACTTGTGTCAAATACGGAATGGGGCAAAAGTAGGTTTACAGTTGTGTGCCAGTTTACTCTTGTATTATTTTCCATATGAACTGTAAACCTATATTTGCCCCACACTGTAATTTACTTAAAAAACTTTTTTGTTGACACTATTACAGACGCCCACCATTCCCTCCCTGTCCCCCAATTTGTCCCCCTTCACCCTGCCCCCGTCCCCACACTGTATTTTTAAATTGGGTAACTTGGCTAGCTTGTAAGGCGTGTGAGCTGAGAATGAATTTTACATTTGTAGTGTTTTTTGTTGTTTTTTTTTTTTAAGTGGCCCACCATGACTAAAATTTTTACCATCTGACCATTTCCAGTTTGCTGACTCTTAATTCCAAGTGAAGCCCATTGACTTAGCAGGAAAACATTCAAGGCCGTCTTCCTATGTTGTGCCAAAGGCGTCATTGGGCTCCAACACTGTTGGTCTATCTCACAAAATAGCTTTCCCATTTGTGGAACTCTTGAGATTTAAAATGTACCGCAGGCTCTTCCTCATCACTCTACCTGACTTGAGACTGCTGGCGGGTTGGAGAAATAAACCTTTGTCAGGGTTGCAGAAGTGGTACACAAACCGGAAACTTAAGGACACCTAATTTTTGCAAAACCTGTAAATGAAGGGTAAAGGCATTTTGGCATACCTGTCCCCAAATAGTGGCAATTGTGAGGCATTCAGAAAAGATTGAGAATCTATGCTCATCCTCAAATTGGAAAATAGGGAGCTTTTATTTTAATCACTGTTAATACAAAGGCAATCCTTGATAGTATTCCTTAGTGTATTTAAGGGCCTTTCAAGGCCCAGTTGGAAAATCCCCTTCTGTAGGAAGCCATATTGCAGACCTGCCAGGCTTTTATTCACATAAAACTCATTAAAATCAGCACTGCCCTGACTGGTGTGGCTCAGTGGGGGTTGGGCAGTGTTCCTCCAACCAAAAGGTCCTGGGTGTGTCAGGCCAGGTCCCGAGACGTGGATATTTGTCTCCCTCCCTCCCTTCCCCTCTCTAAAAAGATCTTTCAAAAAAGAAAAATCTTAAAAAACCACCACCAGTACTGCCTCCTTGGGTGCATGTCAAGTTACTCAGGAGGCTTCTAGGGACCCAGCATCCTATGAAGATCACGGTGTGTCCCAGACTGCCTTTCTGGGCACGTTAGCAATGAAGTGGCCACACGTGGAGGTTGGAAGCACTGGCAGCCGCAGAGCACAGGGCCTGCACGGGACTACAGCTGCCCTTTGGCCCAGTTACCAAGTCACAACTCGTCTGAAATGCCGAGCCCAAGCATCCTTCAGTTTAAGGCATTTTTAAAATGGGAAACTGTCTGCTGAGACCCAAATTCTTGCCATCTCTAGACCAACTCTGAAATGCCACCTTCTAACCTTTTTAGGTTGGAGCTGGAGTGAGCCTTCCAGGAATTCTAGCTGCAAAATGTGGTGCTAAAGTAATACTGTCTGACAGTTCAGAGCTGCCTCACTGTCTGGAAGTCTGTCGGCAAAGCTGCCGTATGAACGGCCTGCCGCAGGTGCGTGCTGTAGGACTCACATGGGGTCACGTATCTCGGGACCTTCTGGCTTTGCCACCACAAGATATTATTCTAGCATCGGATGTGTTCTTTGAACCAGAAGGTAAACCTTTTTTAACAGTAAATTTTGCCAGAGTTGCAATGTAAGTATAAATCTTATCAGGAAGCCCTTTCTTCCCAGATTTTGAAGACATTTTAACTACAGTGTACTTTTTGATGCAGAAGAACCCCAAGGTCCAAATGTGGTCTACTTACCAGGTGAGAAGGTAAGCATTATTAAACCTGGTTTACTCAGTTTTTATTCAGTTGAATTAAGCCTTGACAATGCAGTGTCAAAGGATAAAATGAAAAACGCAGCTGAAGCAAAACAGGCAAATCATAACTTAAAAATCAATTTATTTTCCTCAGTGCTGACTGGTCACTTGAAGCTTTGCTCTACAAGTGGGACATGAAATGTGTCCACATTCCTCTGGCGTCTTTTGATGCAGACAAAGAAGATATAGCAGAATCTGCCCTCCCAGGAAGACATACTGTTGAAATGCTGGTCATCTCCTTTGCAAAGGACAGTCTCTGAATCATACCTACAAGGTGTTTGGGGACACTGTCAATATTGATTAGCAACCTGGCATGCCCGTGGGGACCCAGACCTCTTCAGCTCCTTGGCAAGTAAAGCAGTGAACCTGAAGATGGTCAAAACTGTGGGCCTTGGATCGTGGCGGGGCACCTAGACGACACATGGGTTATGGAGCGTGAAACAAAAATTAAAACACCTATTAAGAAAAGGACTCAGATTGTTCCTAAGTTATTAAAATGGGGCAAAATTTAGGTTATGACAAGGAGTACCCCAAACTCAAGAAAGTGCTACCTTAGGGCATCAATTTTAAGGACAGTGGATTCTGAACTGGCATTTTCACTGTTAAGTCAGCTAAACATTTTATTTTCATACGATACAGTCAGTAACATTCACAAGAAAATTGCACAGGTCTTTAAAATAAGGGGAAGAAAAAAAGACAGACATATTCTGAGAAAAGCTAACACCAAGAAAACGTTTTAATTAAACTATAGAAACAATGGTTATAGTACAGAATATTTATGAGCAAAAAAGATACACCATGTTTTAAGTACTTACAAAGTTACAAACCATTTGCTTCCTTAACATTTTTCATATTTTAAGTTCATACATGAAGATGATCATTTTTACCATTTGGTGGAGTGGGAGTAGAAAAAAAAAAGGTGTATTTATCATCAGCTAGATGTGCTCACTGTATGCTCCGTTATTTATATGCAAGGCCCGGGTGACTGGAAGTGCAGTTGTCAGGCATTTTAATAAACTGGACAGCCATTTGTTTCTGCACGACAAGGCATCTTTACACAGGAGCAATCGGGAGAAAACAGGAAACAGCCAAGCACTCTGCACTGCAACACGCCACCTTAACAGCTAACCAGCATTACTCAACTGCTACACAACTGCGCCTAGTGCACAAAAATACATAAGAGAAGAGATTAGAATTGTGTTTGGTAAACAATCCTTTCAAAAAAAAAAAAAAATCAAGTCTTTTCACCTGAAGTCTTTATACAAATTTGGGTTCAGATTACCATTTAGATCTGCAGGTAAATAACATACACAAACAAATTTACACCAACTTTTGTAGGTTTTTAATTCTAAGGAATGAAGGCAATGCTGAGTCAATCTCTGGACAGCTTTAGGCTGTGTGTAATGGCTGCATGTTTCCTTAAAAGTCAGGAGGCCACAAATTAGGTTACCAATCTGTTTAATTTCAAACAAAAAAAGTCAGCACTATATAAACAAAAAAGAAATTTTACCTCAAATATCCAAGCCAATAATGAAATCTGAAGTTCGTTCACCTCACTAAATTACAAGAAATTTGAATAACAGCAACAAAATGGCACATAAAATGAGGCTTGCCACCTGAGGCGAAGCTTAAAACAAGTAAAAAGTTAGACAAAATGTTACAAAATAACCTTTTCAACAGCCAGTTGCTTGTTCCAAGGACTCGCTGGTGGACTGAGCGTGGGGTCCTTCCGGGCTGTCTGCCGCGCTCCGGCCGCCACATCTAGGTTTGAAAAGAAGCCAGGTCAGCCTACCCTCCAGCGCGGGGACGCCGCACAAAGCGCACGTGGCTTCAAGCTCGGGCTGGTACTTACTAAGTTAGGCTCCGGTGAAACGGGTCGGTTACACAAAGGTTCCACCCAGCCGTTCTCACAATTTTTAAAGGCCCAAATTAGGAAATTCTCACAAAGGCTACCGTCAGCATTTACAAGCTTGTGCTTTCTTGGCCAAATAACCAAGATGAAAAATATTAAAGGGGGGGAGAAAAGAAAAAAAAAACGGGGGAGGGGAAAGAGGGCTGTGTCCAAATATCCAAACAAAAACAACTTGAAATCAGAAAAATCAGTCTATATTTCAAGATAAATTTGGTTTCCAAACAAAACATTTGGCAATTGAGAACAATGCTTTAATATCTGAGCTACTTAGGGCCCTTCCTTTTAAAAAATAGGACCAAACAATTTGAGTTAAAGACACACTATCCTTTCCCCGCCCAGTGCAATACCTGTAAACTTTTTTTTGGGTTCCAAGTTCATTGCTTCGTTTGCAATTCGTTTGCCACATCCATTAGAATAGTGAAGTCCCAGTCAGTACAACAATAGTTGAACTGACAGTTTTCTCTAAGAGGATAGTGCATCTTTAACATTTAAAGACAAACCTGCTCCAATACACGCCCACAGAAACTGGTCCCTGGAGGATCAGCCAAATCAGTTAAAATCTGCAATACTGGCCAATATTCTTTTATCAAACAGGAGACCGCAGCTTTAAAGGGGAAAATGCAGACGTTGGATAAAAACAGCAAGAAATAGTCATTTTCATTAATAGGTCTCAAACAGTTTACGAAACAGCCATTATCATCTAAGCTTTAAACACATCCTCTTTCTGCAGACCCCTCTCTTCAGTTATCAGTCCCAAAGCCGAGTTAGTTCAGAGCAGCGCTCCCAACGTTAGGAGTCACTTGTCTATTAACACGGACCAGAAACGCTACTTCAAACCCCATTTCTGAATTCAGGTCATGCGTCTCGGATCCCCGTGGACATTACCGTTTGCTTAAGAGGACACCGCTCCTTCCTCCTCCGGAGACTTGGGGGGGCTCTTGGATCGCGACCTGGACTTGGACTCCCTCTTGGACACGGGCGGAGGACTCCTGGACCTGGACCGGGACCTGGACCGCGAGCGGGATCTGGAAACCGAGGAGGACTTGGACTTGGATCTTCGCGCCGACCTGGATTTGGAGGTTGACCGCGATCTTGAGCGAGTGCGAGACCGAGACTTGGAGCGGCTGTAGCGAGATCGACTCCGGGACCTGGACCGGCTCCGACTCCGGGATCGGCTGCGGCGACGCCGCCTCGGGCTGCGGGCGGAAGCAGCAGGCGTCAGGGCTCCGCGATCGGCCGCGCCCCGCCCGCCCGCCCGCCCGCCCAGGCCGCCATTATCTCGCCGCCCGGCGCCATTTCCCTGGCCGCGCGCCGGGGTCGCTCAGGCCTGGAGCGGCCCGCCCGCGGCCGCAGGGGCACCGCGAGGCGGTCGGGCGGGTGGCAGGACCGCGGGGGCCCGCGGCGAGCGCCCGCGGCCTCGGCCCGCCACCACGTGTTTCCGAGAACCTTTGTGAGTCAGCCCAAGGCCCCTCCCCGTTTACCTGCGGCTCCGGCGTCCGTAGCCGCCACCCCCGTACCTGCGGGGTGGCGGTCCCCGGCGGCTGTGGTGCGAGTCGGGCGGACGGCCGTAGCGCGCCATCTGCACCCGCAGCTCACGGCCATCCAGGACGGCCCCGTCCATGGCATCCATGGCGTCCTCCGCGTCGCGCTTGTCGTGGAAGCGGACGAAAGCGAAACCGCGCGACTCCTTGGTGTAGCGGTCCCGCGGGATATACACGTCCCCGACGCGCCCGTACTTCTCGAAGACGCGCCTCAGGGTGTCGGGCGAGGTGCGGTAGGTCAGGTTGTCCACCTTGAGGGAGGTCATGCCCTCCACATCGGGAGGCGGACGACCGTAACTCATGGCTCGGGAGAGTCGGCCGGGCCCTGCGACTGAGCGCCGAAAAACTAACGCCCTGGGCGGGCCCGCGCGTTCGGCCGAGGCGGCGGCGGTTTCCCCAGACTAGCTCGGCTCGACGCCGCGCCTCTTCTCTGGCAGTTGGCTTCCTCGTGGAAACGTTTCTTAAAAGTCCAACACACAACTAAAGAGGCCTACTTCCGCAGCAGAGAAGCAACTGGGCAAGTGGCCAGCCCCAGGCGTATTTATAGTCCCCCTCACAAAATGGCGCCCGCGCCACCCACAAGTGAATCCTCTGATTGGCTGGTTCCGCAACGTCCCTGCTGCGTGCCCCGCCTCTGTCTGGCGCGCCTGCGCAGAGCCGGGAAAAGCGCGGAGTCACTGCTACTGGGAGGGGGGAGCGACTTTTGCCGGCAGTTGGAAAGCCCGCGAAACGCTTCTTCCGGCTGGGTGCTCTCGGGCAGGAGGAAGAGGAGGCGCTCCCGTCTTGGGCTCCGCCTTTTCCATGCTGGTATCGGAGGTCTACGCAGCTTTTCGGCTTGGGCCTCAGCTCCGGCTCTGTTACAGGCCATACTCCTTTCCCTTCTTGCGTCTGTCCCCAGTCGCCTCGGACCCCGCTATGTGGTCTCCCGGTCCCTTCTCGCAATTCCTCCCCCTTTCGGTCGGTTCCACTTTCGGCCCCTTTTCGCCACCCCCAGCAGGCTTGACTCCGCTCCCCTCGGGCCAGCGAGCTCTCGCGACGCTCCTGCCAGTCTCGAGCCGCGGGGGACTGCATTTCCCAGCGCGCCGAGCGGGCGGTGCCACGCCTGCGGTCAGGTGACCGGGTCGTCTGACCGGCGTTGAGTCAGGGCTGGGCGGGCGGGGCCGCGCCGGCCTCTGCGAACTGCCCTTGGTCCCTAATCCCCCCCGCGGGCCCCTCAACCTGGGGCGACAACGCTCTTGGCGCGACTCCGCGTGCCGGGCTCTTCCCGACTCAGATCGTATCCTAGGAATGTCCTGACTGTGCCCGCGGGGAGAGCTGCACCCTAAGCCCGGGATTCCGATCCAAGAACTGGAAGTCGACAGCTCGGCTGCTTTGCTCCTGGAGCTGTCTGCCTCCTCTCACCGTCTCTTCAATTCCCCAGGACTGGCAGCGGGTTCGCTCCGAGGAGAGCCGCCTGCCCTGGCCTGCAGCTGACCTCCGGCAGAGTTGAGCCAAAATGTCCCCGGAATCTAAAAAGCTTTTCAACATCATTATCTTAGGAATTGCCTTTATGTTTATGTTCACCGCCTTTCAAACTTGTGGAAATGTGGCGGTGAGTTGGGATCTGCTGCCCCTCCTTTGAAGTGCGTCTCCTAATGCGTTCCAAAAACGAGAATAAATGTTAATTATACGCACCCGCGCGCTTAACTTACGCCTTTTAGTTTCACAGCCTTCCTCGTTTTCTATGATTAGGTCTGATTTCCTGTATCAGACATTTCTTCCTAACATACGGGGACGTGAACGTGGCCGTTTAGTCCTCTGATTGGGTTTTGGGTTTGGATGTTGACCTACTTACTTTATTCTTCTGTGTTCAGGTCTACATTGAACTTGGAGAGTTACGGCAGTAAACTCCAAGGCATAGCTTCAGTTCTCCCCACGCCCCAGTCATTGGGTTGTCTTCTATTCCGTAGTCCTATTTCTTCTCTCATAGCCACTTTTTTGTATTGAGCCTCTTCAATTTTTACTTTATTCTCAGTAGTTGGAGACTTTCCAGGGGGGAGGGGGACTGCAAAACCGTTCCGTGTGGTTGTTGATGAGTTTTGTCTTCCGCACAGCAAACCGTCATCAGGAGCTTAAACAGCACGGATTTCCACGGCAGTGGCTATACCAGGTATCGTTGCTGTGTAAACTGGTTTTCCTTTTTTCTATGACAGTGTTTGTTTACATCCCATCAAAATCGCGGGCAGTAAAATTCTGGAATGGACGCGTAGTGGCCGCTCTTTCTATCTAGAGTATTGGGGGAGAACATAAGAGAATGACAGGAGCGAGTTGAGGTTTCACGTAGACACCAGGTTTGGAATCCTGGCTTCGCAACCTGACTGCTGCGCGGTCTGAGGCAAGCTGCTTCGATGCGCCGGGTTTCCTTGCTCAGCTACTGCCCCTAAAATGCTTGGCACAGCACCTGGCGCTGAACAAGCGCTCAAGGATTGTCACATTGCAGCCTCCCCGTCTTCAGCAGAGGAGGTCTCATGGGACTCTTGAAACACTTGGTCTTTCTCTTTTCGTGATTTCATAGTGATTCATACGCTGTCATCAGCAGCTTTTAGCCTTTTATTAAGGTATTTAGTCCCAGTTTTGCACATGGAGCAAATGAAGTGGAAGACCTTCCCAGGTCACTCGCCCTCCGTGACAGGAGCCGGACAGTAACGGGCGCCTGCATCGGCGCCCAGGCGGGGCTCTTCCTTCCTCCTCACTGCGGGGGGGGGGGGGGGATGCCTGCCGGTCCCGCGAGTGGCCTCCCCGCATCGCCACCCTGTCAGGGTCATGCTTGCTTGCCACCTCTCCTAGGCCTGGCCCTGTGTGTGATAGTTGAGAGTAAAGGGATGGTGATGGCCATTTTTCTGAAGGATTCGTAATACCGCAACTTTGTATAGTGCTTTGTATTTTGCATAACCTAAAAAACAAATGAAAGAACACTTGATATTTGAGATTTGTAAGAGCCAAAGAATAATTTACTTTGAATTTGTAAGTGGTAGTTGAATGCAGGACCTTGGAAATGGTTTTAGTCACACTTTGTCACAAGATACAGGTATTAGGTCGGGCTGGGTCTATACTAGCTGAATAACATTCAGTGAGACCATTCGGTTGAGCTAAATAAACTCTGGCTTAAGCAAGTTTTAACTCTGTGCCTGTTATTTTTAGCTGCGTGCTGGGGCCAGGAGTTGCAGGATAAGTTTGTAGCGCAGGCTGGTGGCCGAGGGCCTCTAGAGTCAGATTACCGGGCGTGCTCCCTGGCCCCACCGCTCACCTGGCACCCAGGTGGGCTTCGGGCAGGTTACTTAGCCCCTCTGGGTTTCGGTTGTCTTTTCCGTAACATGAGGACAACATCAATGCCTTCTTCACAGAGCTGTAGGATTCCAAGCAAAAACATGCCTAAAGTACTTGGCACAGTGCCTATTACATGTTACATGTTAGCTGTTATAATTTACCAGGACATCAAAACTGTGTCATCCAAGGCAGACTTATTCAAAGAAACATTTGATGAGATATCAGTATATTGTGCAAGTGGAAACTTTTAATGCAGCATTCAGTTTAAGGGTATACTTATAAATGCTGACTAAAGAATAGGAATGCTCACTGCAAAACACCTACGGACTAAGCACATCTGGGAGAGTGAACTGTGGAGACAGTGCCTCAGGGGTTCGGTTTGGTTTTGTGTGTTCTGTACACAGCATGGCGATTATTTATGGAGTGTTCTCTGCCTCGAATTTGATCACACCCTCGGTGGTTGCTATCGTAGGACCTCAACTCTCCATGTTTGCTAGCGGTTTGTTTTACAGGTGAGTGGTGTAATTGCCTTTCATCCATTTTCCGTAGAACACCGTCCGCCTCTCTCAGGCACATGGTGACGCTCTGACAGGGACTTGCCGACTTGGATGGAGTAGAACAGAGGCACCAACTTGGGGATTTCCCTTCTTGACTCTCGGGATAACATAAGGTTTTAATGTGATTGGATGAGTATATACTTGAGTTCGTTTTACTACCGATAAAAAAAGTATCCAAAAGTCTCTTTCTGCAAGAGTTGAAGAGAGCTTCCCATGAAATAATATTATATTTTATATCAGGTTGGCTAACAGGAATTCAAATGGCATAGTTAAACCTTTCGTGTGGGCCGTAGAGCTCCAGTCCCATCATGGGCTAAGCAGTTGGCGAAGGCCAACTGCAAACCGTCCTTCAGTGTGTGACTTTACAAAATCTGAACGAGTATGTTAAGGAATGAGGAGGCCACTTCTGCCCCTTTCTAATTGTTTTGTTTTCAACACTGGAGTCCTTTATGTTGATTCCTAGAAGGCTTGCTTGGCGTTCTGTGTCAGGTGTTTTTGACTATAATACGTTGACCTGTTATATTTTAGCATGTACATTGCCGTTTTTATCCAGCCTTTCACGTGGTCCTTCTACACAGCCTCTGTTTTCATCGGAATCGCAGCTGCAGGTACGTATTTTGATGTTTATTTTCTTCGTTTTCTGGGGCTTATCTAAGAGTAGCCTTTGCGCATTTAGTATGTACAGCTAAGGGATTTCATTCCCCTGATAACCTTTTGGTTTGAATTTTAGTACTTTGGACAGCACAAGGAAACTGCCTGACCATAAATTCAGATGAGCACACTATTGGGAGAAACAGTGGAATTTTCTGGGCACTCTTACAGTCTAGGTAATAACCCTTTTAGAGCTCGATCTTTCCTGTAGTATTTTTTGTCACATCATAGTTTTAGATCTTTGTTGTGTTGAAAACTCAGATCTTCCATGTTGTATGACTTGTAAGTTCCTGGCTGCATACAGATTAAGCATTTCATAGAATTACTTATAATGCACAGATCTACCTCAGAGGCTCTAGAACTTACGATTACCAGATAGAAACTGATATTAACCATAATATATTTAGTATTGGCTATATCTCGGGGACTGTGGGGCTCATTACTTAATGTCAGTAATCTCCACAGTCTCATGACATGAGAAGACATACAGGTGAGAAAACAGAGGCTTAAAATCTAAGTAATTGATCTCATTGAAACCATCATTATCTGGATTCCAAAGGCCGCATGGCCTGAGAGCTGTTAACAAACACCTATTTAAATTTAACACTGGACAGCCTCGCACGGTGGACGTTTCCCAAGAGCGGCCAGTCATTCTGTCACAGACTCTGTCCCGAGGATCTTGGATCAGGGCACCCTCCTGGATCTTGCCTGAAATTTCGGCATTGATAAGGCTTACCAAATGCAAAGGCTGAGTTTTAAGGGATTGGATACTAAGGAACTGCAGTGTGAGTGATTTCTTCTCTAGGAAAATTTGCAAAATAAGTATCTGATTAGACGCAGATAAGTAAATCACGGAATTTTTTCATAGATTGTTTGAAACGTAAGAGTTTAGAAGTAGCGTGCACGTGTTCCCAGGGAGTCATTTTCAGTGTTCCAGTAGCGGATCCCATGTGTCAGCGTGTGAGTCAAGGTCTCCGAAGGGCGGTTCTGAATCAGGTCGCTGTCACGGGAGGGAGGCTGCGCTCCATCTGGGTCAGTTAGGGTTTTCAGAAAGTGTCCGGGCGGAGTCTACACTGTTCAACGGTCTAGGGCAGGTAGATACGTCTAAAATTATATAATGCCTCCAGCTTTCTCTTTCTTTTTAATGTATAATGGGAAAATTGTTAGGAAACTAGAAATGTGAAGATAACTTCCCAACATTCTTGTCTTCCTTTTTTCCCCTCAGCTTATTCTTTGGAAACCTCTACATATATTTTGCTTGGCAAGGAAAAACTCAAATATCAGGTTTGTTTTATTCAGATACGTGCAAAGTGTAATAGCAGTTTCACAAAAATACCCATTGTTCCTTTGTTCAAAAGTGTTCTGATGAACCTTGGTACCTTAAGTCTTCTCAGATTTTAGCTTTTAGTCACTTTTCCCCTTGGATTGTATTACGAAGCTAGGCCTGTAGCCGGTGGCTTTGTGTGGCGCCTCAGGGCGCGGGAGGGTTCTGCTGCGGGCGTGAGCACGGGGGTCCGCGGCCAGACTGCTGGATTGTTGATTGCTTTGTGTGCTTCTTGACTCAAAGAACAGGATTAAGTTATTGTACTATTTGTTTTTGCTTATTAGTATTTTTCTAAGTGGAAAACAAAGGTGGGGACATCCCATTTCTCTCCTTGCCCTAGGTTTTTACTGATGCAATAAAGTAAAACTTTAATCAGGAAGTATTCCAGTGGTTAGAAACAAGCTCTGAACATCATGCTCACTCACAGTTGTTCGTATGGTCAGTGCTATCGACTTTCTTCCTTTTTTCCCCTCCTCCAGAGAGCGACCGGAGAACAGTGTTTATTGCCCTGACGGTGATTAGCCTTGTGGGGACTGTTCTTTTCTTTCTCATTCGGAAACCAGACTCCGAAAACATCCTGGGAGAAGATGAATCCTCTGATGACCGAGACCTGGACATCAATGAGTAAGAAGCTGGAAACAGTCCTTTTTTTTCTTTTTGAAAATATATTTTAAGTAGATGTAGTCTAGAGGTTACCAGCCTTTTTATAGCCTAAATGATATCTGATACTGGGCAGAGGTGAGGGAAAAGTTTTCAAGCAAATAAGGGGAAGAAGATAAAAGAGAGGAAGAAGGAAAAGGAATGGGCGATAGCATGCCCCAGCCATACCCGCAGGACCTGGGGGCTCATTTTAGAATTCCTGGCCTAGAAGTGGCTTCCTGAGCTGAGTTGGGAGTGACCGGCGTGCACCTGCGTGCGGGCCGTTCAGCCATGTGCTAATGGTCTACACAGCGTAAATCGGTTCCTCCTCCTCTGAGGCCCGAAGTGTAAAATACCCAAATTCTACATCCGATCCTGTCCACCTACAAGTGAGGGTACTATTAATTAAATGGAGTCTAAATAGTTATTTGTTTTCAGGGAAGCCATGAGTTTTCAAGGTGAGGGAAAAAGTTTTCCTGTTGGTTAGAACATGCTACCTTTTTTATATCAGTCATTTATTTATTTAAATCAACAAGCCCTCCATAGGGTTTCTCCCCCCACCTTTTTTGGTAATCAAATCATTTAAAGATATAGGAGAAGTAGGTATTGCCCTTTTGACTGGTAGGCTAAGAAGTGTGATCTTTTAAAAAAATTAAAAAAAAATTTTTTACTCACTCAGCTGCTGAGCCTCAATGGACTGAGAGCACCGACCTGCGAACGAAAGGGTCACAGTTTGATTCCCAGTCAGGGCACCTGCCTGGGCTGCAGGCCAGGCCCCCAGCAGGGGGTGCGTGAGAGGCAACCACACATGGATGTTTCTCTCTCTGTCTTTCTCCCTCCTTTCCCCTCTCTCTAAAAACCAATAAATAAAATCTTTAAAAGTTTTTAAAAAATATTTTTATTTATTGATTTTTAGAGAGAGAGAGGAAGGGAGTGAGGAAAACATTGATTTGTCGTTTCATGTACTTGTGCATTCCTTGGCTGATTCTTGTACGTGCCCTGATCCGGGATTGAACTTGGCAACCTTGAGCTACCGGATGATGCTCTAATTAACTAAGCTACCCAGCCAGGGCAAGAAATGCAATCTTTTAAAAACTTTCTTACCATAATCATCATAAAGAGCTACACTTAAGTTACATTAGCTCATTTAATTCTCACAGGTGAGTGGTAGCGTCTCTATTTTATAAGTGAGGAAATGAAACACTGAAATGATTTGTCTAAAACCATGCAATTAATAAATGACAAAGCAGTGCTCAAGACTCGGAAGCCCACATTTTTAGTCATTAGATTATACTGCACCCCGCCGGGAATCACAGATGGTAGTGTTGCTTTTGAAGAAGTTTAACGCGAAAGAAGTTCTTTTTACAGAGTAGGAGTGGCAGAAAATTGAATTCCCACACATTGTTTTTAAGGGTGAAACAAGCAGGGTGGAGGAGACTTCTGTGGAAAACACGTGCATGACTGTGGGCAGGAAGCTGAGGATGGAAGGATTGGGTTCTGTTGTTAATAAGGAGTCATTGGGTAGCACTTGGACCGCATGCCCTGGAGCAAGGGTGTGCGTCGTGAGGGACCCCTGCAGCACAGCGCCCGGAGGGCGCTGGGAAGGTTCGCCAGCCTGTGGAGAGGGCAGAACTTTTACAAACTCAGTAAAAATGTGGTAGTTTTTTTTCTCTTTCAATTTTCAGGGGATAAAACATTATTATTATTATTTTTTTTTCTTTTACCAGGTCTGCCCAGAACAATATGACGAAGGCAGCAGATGCATTTAGTAAGTATTTTCTGTATCTGAAATGCGAGAACAGACTGTTCAGGAACAACGTCAGCATTGGCCTTTCCCTTTTCCCTGGTAACTTTGGATTGACGGTGCCCCGGTATTTTCATTTTTCCAGGTACGCGGCGTATCTGGAAAAATGGAACACCGGCACGGGGCACGGGGGTGGGGGTGGGGCGATCCCCCAGCCTGCACGCCTGGGGGCGTGGGAGCGGCAGGGCTGCAGAGAACTCAGGAGCTGGGGGTCTACTTGAGAGAGTGAGGACACAGACGCTGTGTTTGGCCGCCCTGCTGCCCTGCTCCCCGCTTGGAAGGGAGCCGGCGCTCTGGGGACCCAGGAGCGAGGGAGAACACTCTTGTCTGCTGAGGGTTCTTCCTGGCCAGACCTCATTACCTGTTTCATTCTCACAACAGTTCTGAGTACTGTGCAGCACGTATGGTGCAACCCGTAGGTATAACCCATCCATACCCCCACTTTATAGAAGAGAAACTGAAGGGCAGAGAAACTACTTACCCGAGGTCAAACAGTGAGCACGTGACTGAGCTGGGATTCGAGCCCAAACCGTCCGACCGGCTGAGCCGCTGATTCCCAGAATGGCCGTCTTGTGGCTCCTTCAGAGAGGCAGCCAAGCCTTCTGGCTTGGAGGAGGCCTCATGTTGATCAGCTCTTTGCTTCTGCCTGCAGCTTTCCACCCTCTGTCTCCGGGGGAGAGAAACCTGGCTGAGGTGGCTCCTGTGCGGGAGGCCGCAGCTCTCTGGGCCACCGCCTCTCAGTAAACCCCTTACAGGCCCCTGGGCCCTGCGCCTGTGTCGCTGTGGCTGGCCCACAGGCCGGCCTAGACGGGGGTGCATATTCTTGATCTCACCAGCTGTGGCCAGATGGCACCAAGCACGCCTGCCCTCGGCAGGGTTCCTGTGGCCCCTGTTTTTAGAAGGGCTTGTGGGCGTGGCAGTCTATGCCTTGCACACACAGTGCGCCATTGTTAGGGCTGTTTGATCAGGCTTTTGTTATGTGCATCTCTCCTGTGGCAGGAATGCATTCATAATTATACATTGAGCTGCATGTTGTAATTAAAGGGGATGTAGCCTGCCTGTCCCCCATCAAGGTGGGAAGTCACCCATCAGAGGTCTGGCTTTCAGCTTTGCAGGTCTAGAAGCTTAGCACGCCGCAGTCCCCAGAAGGGCCCTGGCTGGGTAGCTCAGTAGGTTAGAGTGTCATCCCGATACACCAAGGTTGAGGGTCCGATCCCCAGTCAGGGCACGTACAAGAAGCAACCAATGAGTGCGTAAATAATGGAAACAGTAAAAATCGATGTTTCTCACTCTTTTAAAAAAAAATTTGGGTGTGTGTTTTCGCTAGACTTCATTTTTTAGAGCAGTTTTAGGTCCACAGCAAAATTGAAAGGAAGGTGCAGAGGTTTCCCAGGTACCCGCCCCTCACACATGCACAGCCGCGTTCGCTGTCAGTGCCCCCGCCGGAGAGAGCGGGGCACTTTACAGTTACAGTCGATGGCGCTGCGTTGATTCGCCACTGCCGCTTGGCGCCTGTAGTTCCCGTTAGGGCTCACTGTTGGTGGCGCACGTTTTATGGGTTTGGGCAAAAGTATGATGACATGTAACTGCCCATCTAGTATCATACTAGATTATGTTTTAAAATTTCTCTATGTTAGCTAAATCTTTCGATTATTCAGAAACAAACCGGCCCAGTTAATGTAACTTGTTTAACTAAAAATTGGTTTTAAACTTTGTTTAAAACATTGATCATGTATTTTTTTTTTCTGGAAAAATGTGAAAGTGATTGGTGGAAATATCTTACTGCATTTAGTGTGGCAAAGAGAGAAAAGTGTCTGCCTGGCACATGTAGAAATTCAGGACAGAGTGTTTGTGACTTACGTCAGTTTCATTCAGCTGGATAAGAACTAAAATCTGGGTCCAGTATTAGTTTAGGGTGCTCAAGGAGTGGCCATAAGTTATGAAATGTGAGCCAGTTCAGAATGACACTTGAAATACACAGTTTTTAGGAATGCATTTTCCAGTGCAGATTTCAAATAAATTGAGCAGCATGAAAACAAACAGGAACGTGATCGTAACCAGGTGTGCAGAACGAGAGGCAAGGTTTACCCTCAGGCTGGAGTGAGAATCCCAGGAAGTGGCTCCAGCTGCTGTGTGGTCAGGCAGCTTCCGGCGGCTCTACCCCAGTCCCTCCCCGAGGCCGCCCCACGATGGTAGTTCCTTAGGGCAGCCCGCACTTCGCCAGCTGTCCGTTACCTGAACCGCCAGCCTGTGATCGAGGCTCTTAGAATATTCTGTCGTTCTGTTTGTATTTTCTCCATTTTGTGATTTTGATTTTCTTAAAGTTAGAGCTGGAGACTGTGTTGAAGAAAGCATGACTCTAGAATATATTTAAACGGTTGACATAAACAGGTTATAGAGCAGATTTAGTTCATACCTTAAACATTTTAATCTGAATCACTAACCTTTGTCTCGGTGTATTTGTTTACTTGCATTATTTTTTTCTTTTTTTCTTTCTTTTTGACTGACTTGCATTATTGGCCAAGGGGAGTTTGGGTTGAATAAACATTTTAGAACTGTTGTTTGATTAATTAGAATCAAGTTGAATGCCCCCAAAATGTTTTCTTTGTTTCTTTTTTACAGAAAAGTCTCTCAGACTATGTGTCACCAAGGAGATGCTCCTCCTTAGCATTACAACTGCTTACACAGGTGAGCACTGACAGGCTATGAAGTTTTGTTCTATTTTTCTGTTGCTGAACAAGGACAAATAAGGGCTAAAAACTGCCGCCATGTTTTTCTTTCTCAGTTCTGTGCATTGACTGGGCCCAGGGGAGCAGTGCTTTGGGGGGTCGCAGTGGGGGTCTCTTGGAGGGCAGCCTAGGCCAGAGGGTTTCGTTTGCTTGTCTGGACGGGTCAGACGGCAGGCGGGGTCTGTCCCTCTCCAGGCAGCTCTGGGCGGCTGCAGGACCCCTCCCACGTGGCTCCCTCTGAACGGGCGGAAGGGAAAACGACCGCCCCCTCACGCTGGCCTGGCCCCTGCCCTGCGTCACCTCCACTGCAGGTCACGGGGCCAGCCCGCACTCAGTGGGGGAGGGTCTCATACACGGGCTTAAAAACCGGGGCACGGCTCACCCCAGCCAGGATTTTAGGGCAAAATGGGGCACTACCGAAAATAACAGGAGTACATCTTTGTAATTTTGTATAGATCAAGAACATTTCTAATGACAAGAAGTGAGCTCTGTGGCTTGCTGCCAGTCATGTGGTGTGAGAAGGGCGGGGGGGCGCTCTTAGGTCCTAAGAATGAGGCAAACATCTGTTTCCTCCTAAGAGCGCTGTGACGGCGCGGCTTGTGCGCGCAGTGGACTGAGCGCCGGCCTGCGAACCAAGGGCCTGCTGCTCTGTCCCCAGTCAGACCGCTGCCTGGGTCGCGGGCCAGGTCCCCAGTGGGGGCGCGTCAGGGGCAGCCACACAGGGATGTTTCTCTCTCTATCTGCCTCCCTTCTAAGAATAAATAAGTAAAATCTTTTAAAAATTATCTTTAAGAAAAAAGTGCTGTAATGTGCCAATTACTTTTGCTCTTCTCTGCCTCATAGGTATGCACATCTTTTTACGAGAAATAGAATAAATATTAAACTTTTTTAAGTCAGGAAAGGTTTGTAGCATTTAGGAATCAGGTCTTCTACTGATCTGCCCTAATTTTTACCCTAATTTTTTGAAATTTTTTCCTTGGGAAAAAGGTTTAATTAAAATGTTATTATGTCTTTAAGCACAAGTGGATAGTATGTATTGGTTTTCCAAATGGACCTTCCTATGCCCTTGGAAAGCTATTACAAATTTAGGTTAATTATATCCTCTGCTCATTTCCTGTCTACACACAGAGTGACCATTTGTAACAGAAGGTTGTCTTTGCTTCTCTGAGTTGATGTTTGTCTGAAACCTGTGACATCTGCCACCTTGTGGCTGATTCCGTTTTGTCAGTTATACAGCATAAGACTTACACTGTGCTCAGGGGTAACATTACAGCCTGCGTGAATTTTTGTCTTAGATGTTCGTTTGGTGTGTACATAGCTCAAATACTACTAGGCATAAAGCAAACCAAGGAAAGGGGGGATGTGAGTGTATAACTTAAGTCTAATTTTTTCCTAAAGGTCTGGAATTGACCTTCTTCTCTGGTGTATATGGAACCTGTATCGGTGCCGTAAATAAATTCGGAACAGAAGAGAAGAGCCTCATTGGACTTTCCGGCATTTTCATCGGCATTGGAGAAATTTTAGGTTAGTTTGTGGAAAAAATGCTTTGCATTAAATCAGTTTGTTGAGTTATAACAGAAGTTTTAAGTGTACTTCACCTCTCTGTTCTTGAATTTCTGTTTCCCTGCTTATTTTTGCTCAGATGGATAGGTCTTTGTTTTTTATTGTTACTGTTTTAAGATAACTGAATTACAAGACATTTGCCAAATAATTCACAGACAAAACCACGCACAGGAAACACACGGCCTCTCCCAGCTTTCCCTCATACGATGCTAAGGGGAAGTGCCTTGGGGTCCCTGGCTTCCCTCTCCCTTGTCTGACACCAGCCGGGTGTCCAGCAATCCAGTCCGGCTCTGACACTGTCCCCCAGGGCGGGTGTCACACTCCGCAGGTTCAGGGGCATCTGCCCGCACTTCGGACGCCAGTGGTAAGTTCCGGGGCCCCGGACTGCCCACACTGTCTGCCCTGGCAGTGAATTCGGGGGTTCCCACAGCCCCCCTAAAACGTTATACTTGATATGAAAGTTATTATAAAGAACAGAAATGCACAGCCAGATGAAGAGGCACACAGGGCAGAGTCCTGAGGGGTCCCAAGTGCAGGATCCTCCGTCCCCGTGGAGTTGGGGTGTGGCACCCTCCCAGCATGTGGAAGCTCTCCCAAAGCTGTCGATGAGGGGGTTCGACGGAGGTTTCTCCCTGCACGCCCACTTGGCGAAATCGCTGGCCACTGGTGATTAGCCGCCCCCAGTCCCCGCTCCCCGAGGGCAAGGGGCCGAGCGCGGACTCTCCAGGCTCCTGTTAAGGCCTGGTCCTGGGCAGCCGGCCCCCACCCTCCGCTTGCCAGGGCCGCCCGCCCTCCGCCCAGTGGCCTCATTGGCATGAACTGAGGTCCCGTGGAAAGGGGTTCCTGCAGGTAACAAAAGACACTCCTAATACCGAGGAGTTTCCTAGGGTTTCAGGAGCTCTGGGCCAGAAGGGGAGGGGACAAGGCAAAGCCCAACTGTGTCATTATACTGCGCTAATTTCTCCCCGTTCAACAAAGATTTCTTCAACTCAGTATGTTGGATATTAAAATGGGTTGGGCAGACCTGGAGCAGTGCTCAGACTGGGGGCTAAGCTCTGTGTACCCCCTGTGTGAAGGTGCACCCCAAGTGTGAGAGGACCCTGCTGTGTACCCCCAGAGCATGAATGGGAAGATTTCCGGTCCAGGGGGTGGGACCTGGCATGTTCCCAGCCCAGGGCGGGGCACCACTGCCTCTAACCCTGTGGACGCCTTCTCCCCGGCTCTGCCCTCCCTGCCGGCTCACTCACACTCTGCCGGGCAGCACTCGCTAGAGACTAGGGGCACCTCTGCGCCCTCCGGGATCGTCTTGGAGCAGCTTTGCCTGACACCCTGTCCTGGGCACTCCAGCTCCCGCGCCCCCCCCCGCCCCCCCCCAGGCCCCAGACTCAGCTCTGTGCCCTCAGCTCAGAGGGCGGTGCCCTCACGCACCCCCCGCCCCCTCCCCAGCGGCCAGCAGGCTCACCGCGTTGTCCCCTGTCTCCCAGAGGGCACTGCCCTTTGATGCCTGATGGCTGCTCCATTTCCAGGTCCACTGCCGCATATTTTTTTCTACATTTTTAAGGCAGGGGATAAATCCAATCCTTGTTTTTCCATCTTATGTAGAAGTCTGTTCTGATTTTTAAAATATTCTTCTGTTTCAATAGTTATTCCTTATTTTATGTGTTTCCAATTCAACTAGCTATTGATTTGTCCACTTACTTTTTTCAAATCAAGATTTTGATATATTAACTTGCTCATGGGTTGCTCTGTTCTCTACTTCACTGCTTTCATAGGTGGAAGCCTCTTTGGCCTGCTGAGCAAGAATAATCGTTTCGGTAGGAACCCAGTTGTGCTGCTGGGCATCCTGGTGCATTTCGTCGCTTTTTATTTAATATTTCTCAACATGCCCGCAGACGCCCCCATTGCTCCCCTTGAGGGGACCGACAGCAGAGCTTACATCGCATCCAGGTAGAGCGACTGCCCTTTTTCTAGTGATTTAAGGAAGGGCGGAGATATCGGATCTAGATCTTTAAAAGGGAACAGTTAATCCTTTTCTGGGAGGTCTGTTATCTTTCTAAGGTCACCTGTCAAGTGTAATGGAGCCAGAATGAGTTTAGGTAGAAATCCATATTTTACCTCTGCTTTTTTGAGCAATGGAATCTCTAGCAGTTAGGGCCTCAAGGAAGAACAGTGAGGACCAAGGGATTGTCGGGCAGCAGGGAGGACAGCCAGTCCTCCCGCAGCTGATGCTAAATGTTTTGGGGATACTTTGCTCACCTCGCAAATTTGTTATAAACACATTTATGTCCACATCCACAGTCTAAGGGCAACCCTGCCCAAAACAGTATTTGCTTCCCAAACCCTTTATAGCCTGGAGTTTGCTAGACTGTGAACATGAGTACATTTTTAAAAAAAGATTTTATGTATTTATTTTTAGAGAGAGGAGAAGGGAGGGAGAAAGAGAGGGACAGAAACATCAATGTGCAAGAGATTCATTGATCAGTTGCTTCTCGCTCGCCCCCAGCTGGGGACCTGGCCCACAACCTAGGCATGTGCCCTGGCTGGGAATCGAATCAGCGACCTTTTGGTTCACAGTCTGGCACTTAATCCACTGAGCCACGCCAGCCAGGGCATTTGAACATATTTGAACTGTGAGTGCATTTGAACATAAGTTCTTCCTTTGAAAAATCCAGTATTTATTTATTCTCATTTCAGAGGTTTAAAACTTGGAAGGTAAAATGCTTTTGTGGGCGAGTTGCTTTTCCATTGTAAATGGCTCTGGCAAATATCGTTGATACTCATTCTAAATTAATTGTGTTTTACTCAGCAAAGAAGTGGCCATCTTCTGCAGTTTCCTGTTGGGTCTTGGAGACAGCTGCTTCAATACCCAGCTGCTCAGTATTTTGGGTTTTCTCTATTCCGAAGACAGTGCCCCTGCATTCGCAGTCTTTAAGTTTGTCCAGGTAATCTCTTGGCAGATTGTGTGTCCTTTGTTTTAGTGCTTTGACTTCATTTTCCTAACGTCTCTTAAATGGAAGTCAGGGCATCCTTTAAAGTGATTTGTGATAGAATTAGGAAGCAATGAGTATAGTGTGATCCTCCCCGACGTGTGTAAGAGATTGTATGTTCTGGTCTCTCCGATGCAGATTAGACACTTCCTTTCTTAGATACCTGGAGTCATTGACAGTGTAGACACTCCTCACTGTGTCTGCACATCCCTTTATTATTCCAGTTTTATACAAGATACTGTTTCAAGTAACATTGTACCTTGCTTGATGTTTACCAGCTCTGGGAGGAGGTTCCGGTGCGTGTTTGTGAACTGGTGACACGTGACATGCTTTCTAGGTGCAGGAAGGGCACCAAGCCTGTCGGCACAGAAGGCTGAGGGCCTGTCGGCTGTAGTGGGGCGGGGGGGTCTTACCCGGGAGCGCGGGTCACCTGTGTGCATATTGTGACTTGTTTTCTTTGTTCTCAGTCCATTTGCGCAGCTGTGGCATTTTTCTACAGTAACTACCTTCTCCTTCCCTGGCAACTCCTGGTCATGGTGATCTTCGGGTTTTTTGGAACTGTGTCATTCTTCACTGTGGAGTGGGAAGCTGCCGCTATTGTCGCCCGGGGCTCCGACTACCGAAGTATCTGACCTGGGGAGCCAGCTACGGGAGGGAGGCGGAGCCTCTGCATCCTGCACTCCGGAGTGGAGCCAGGAGAAGGTCCCACCTTTGGCTTTCACAGGACAGGGAGGACGCTCAGCGTGGAGAAATCGGAGGGGCCGGACTGCTCAGGCTGCCGGAGCTGGAATTCCAGTTCACAGATGTTCACTCCTTAAAACAAGTGGAATAAGGGAAACTTGTGCTGTCAATTATAATCATTCAAAGATGTTTTTTAATTCATCTGTCGCGAGTTCCTTATAATCACGTTATCAAATGTAAATGTTTTCCTCTCCCTTCCGTTTCCTTGAGCGATCTCGCCTCAACTCAAAACCCTAGGCCATATGTCACGTAGAGATCTCCTGCTGGGTGTCGAATTACGTGTTACTATGTAATAATAGGGAGCATATGCTGCCCCACATGTGTGTCTGGGAATGACATTTGAATAAATCCCGAGATGGGGAAATGGAATCTTGTCTTTGAAAGGAGTTGCACTTTCTTCCTCTTTAAATGTTTTTTTCTGATTAGTTTTCTTACCTTGTAGTTCATAGGAAGGAGTGGCTCATTAAGTATTGTAAAGTGAGGTAAAAATTGTATTCAGTCTTAACGATGGGAATCTAACATTTGTAAATGAACAAAAACACTAAAAAATACACATATTTCCTGGAGGAGGATTTCTGCCAGCAATTTTCCTAGAAGACGCGACGCAGGAGAAAAGGGAGCCCTGAGCTCCACTGCAGGCTGCCGCGCGGAGCCGGCGCCAGTCGCTTGCAGCCCGGGGCGCAGTGCGGCGGTTTGGGCAGATGTTTAAATGGAGATGCTAACTTCCCTCCGTAAGAGCTTGCTTAAAAATTTTTGTAAATTTATATATAGTTCAGAAACCATAAAATTCACCATTTTTAATGTGTACAATTTAGCATTGTTTTTTAAATAGTAAATTCCCAGGACTGTCCCCCTGTCACCATGCTCTAAGGCCAGGACGCTTTCACCACCCCCAGAAGAACCCGCGCCCGCTGCCGTCGGCCCCAGCCTCTGGCCTGGCACGGGCAACCCCTAACCCGCTTCCTCTCTCCGTGGGTTTGCCTGTGCTGGACGTTGAACATGAGTGGGAGAGCTCGCTTTTAAATGTGATTTTTTAACTGTACAAACGAAGAAATTTATGGCAAAGTACGTTAATCCAAGAGAACAAAAAATACCTTGTTTTCCTTTTTTTCTTTTTTAATCCACTGGAAACTTAGATATTTTGTGGCTGGCTTACACGTCCGAGGAAGTCCAGTAAAGTCAGGCTCGCCGGCCAAGTGCAGGAGGCGGGCCGCGAGCTGGGCTTGTCAGAGAAGGTCTGTTTGTGTGCGGCACTGAGCTCTCTTGTTCCATGTGCTGAAGTTTAGATTTTCTTTCTTGAAGTTGAGATAAACCCAGTTGCTTAGGTGATCCTGTAGAAATAATTTGTGAATGCTGTTTCAAAAATAAGTGATTTTATTATTACCTATTGAAGCACATTATTGTTGACCCACATGTATTCTAATCATGGTATAACAAAGTGGCCGACAATTTAGCTGCTTGAAACAGCACACATTTGTCATCTCACACTTTCTGTGGGTCAGGACTCCGGGCGTGGCCAAGCCAGGTCTGTCACAAGGCTGTGGTCCAAGGGCCGCCTGCGGTTCACCCGGGGGTGACCCCGCTTGTCGGCAGCAGTCGGCTCCTCACGCTGTTACAGGACTCAGGGTCTTGGTTTCTCATGGCTGTTGGCTGAAGGCCACCCTCTGTTCCTTGTCCCCTGGAGCCTTGTCCCCTGTCAGGGCAGCTCACCACATGGTGACTGTCTTCACCAAAGCAAGCCGGCAGGGGACGACAGTGCTGGCTGGACAGGAGTCCCCGTCTCCCCTAACAGAACCTGGGAAGTGACATCCCAGAGTCGCGAGTGGGATGGGGCTGCGTGAAGGAGCTCGGGCCCGGGGCCGGGGACCCTAAGGACCACTCCACAGCGCTGCTCGTTTTGCATTTAAGCCAAGACTGGGCCCTCCACGCCCACGTCGCTCATTTTCCCGGGCCGTCCACCAGGCTGGCAGGAAGGGCTGGAGGCCTCCGTCACTGACACTGAACACTTCGATCCAAGGAAGCCGTGGCATCTCAGCTCCCCCCGCGGGATTCCCGGTAACTGCTGCCAGAAGGGAAATGAAAGGCGGCTCCCGGTGCGGCCTTGGGCTGCCTCCGCTGCCTGGGCAGCCCCGCCCACTCTAAGTGCTGAGCTCGCCCCCTTTGGGGGGGGGTTCATTCAGTTTTTAGGTCTATAAATAGTGTTCTTGATGTGCTCCTTAGATGACTGGTAACATGAAGCTCATCTTTGAAATTTCTATTATTATTTGAGTTAAAAGTGGAATGTGACAATGAAATAAAGAGTTGAATTTTCATGCTTTTATCTTATGTATTCTGTCGAATAATTCCGCCTTCACGCCTCTAGGTGAGGAAAGGCCTCTGCCGGGCCGCACGGGGCGGTGAGCGTGTCAGCGTGGCTGTGCTGCTTTTATTGGAGATTTTGTGTGGTGTGCGCTGAGATGTGGCACAGACCTCGAGCAGCCTTACTGACTCTCAGGTTCTCTGCGTGGGAAGACCTGCCCCCCCACCCCACGCAACACCCAAAGGCTTGAGAACCTTCAAACCTGGGCTTTGGGGTTGATACCGAGCATCCCTTCCCTTTGGGAATGTGGTTGGTTTGGCTGGTTGTTGATTTGCGTGCGAAACAAATCAGTCCCAATGAATAGTTTAAATATCTTAGAGCCTCATACCCGTTGGGATGGCTACTACTAAAAAAAACAAAGTAAGTGTTGGTGAGGCTGTGGACATGGGAACCCTTGGGCACTACCAGGGAGAATGTACAATGGCGGAGCGTCCATGGAAAGCTGTGGCAGTTTCTTAACAAACTGAAACTAGAATTCTGTGTGACCCAGCAGTCCCATTTCTGGGTAGGTGCCCCCGAGGAACTGAACGCAGGGACTTGAAGAGGCGTTTACACAAGCACAGCTGTGGCAGCGCTATGTACCGTCGGCAAAAGGCGGACGCAACCACACTGTCCGTCCACAGGGGACTGAATAAATGAAATGTGGTCTGTCCATGCAGTGGGATCTTACTCAGAGACCCTTTCTTCTTTCCTTTACGCTAACATCATCCTGGAAAGGTAACACCATCGACCGCCGCTCCCAGGCCGTGGCTAAAGCAGGCTAACCTCTGGATTTAGGGCAGGATTCAGGGGTTGACTCTTGTTTGTGCTCTGTTCAGGGAATTGAACCCGCAACCTTGGTGTAGCGGGACGACGCTCTAACCCAGTGAGCTACCCGGCCAGGCCTACAGGGCAACCTTTTATTTCGGGCTAGGAGAAAACCCAACTGCCCCCTGGCTTGAAAGGGCCACCGTGCCCTGATGGGATGTGTCCTTGCCCGCAGTAGCGGTTACTCTCCGTGGGCCTGTGAACGCCTCCGCTGGTGGCCAGCCGGGCAGGGCCCCGAGAGGGTCCCGCTGTGCCCCTGACTGTCCCAGGAGGGGCTGCCGGGAGCCAGTGCTCGCTTACCGCGGCAGGGCCCTCTGTTCCCGGTGGGGAGTGCACTGAAGTGGGGATCCCCTTTCCTTGGTGCTCGGAGACCTCGAGAAGCCCTGGACTGTCCTTCGGCTGGACACGGGGGTGTCTGCACAGCCGGCACTGCCCGGTGTGTGGGGGCAACGCTTCTGGGGAGGACCAAGCTCTGTCAGGTAAACCATCACTGAGTGTGCGATGTGTCTCTGATTGCGTTGGGTCTTGGGGACCGTGGCTCGAAAGTGCACGCCAAACCCTGGGAACGATCCTACTTGTGGCTGCCGGTGTGGACAAAACAGGGAGCCACACACCAGACCGACAGGCCCCTGGGAGACTTGCGTGGCAGCCTAACAGACTCGGAGGAACCGCGCAGGGCGGGTCGAAGGTAAACACTCCTGATTGAAAGGGGGTCAGGGCAGTAGTCACATCCTAGACCTGTGGCTTCCTTGACAAAGGTCGCCCTTTACCTTTGAAATTGTCTATCCTCTCTGTGCAAGGAAGATAATGAACCTTTGCAACGTCAGCATTATCTCTGTCACCAGACCCTGGGAGGTGTGACCTTGGCGCCGGAGCTGAGACCGCGCTGTTGTCTTGTTGCCCACGCCCACCTCTGTGCCCTGTAAAGGGCCTTTGCTAACTTGGCACCTGTAACAGGACACAGCCAGGCCCCCCCAAAAGGGATTGTAACAGGGCCCAGAAATTGGGCTGTCCAAAAAAATGTGGAACATTCTCACCTCCCTCTCCCAGCGGGCTGTGGGGGTGGGGGGGACAGGGAGCAGAGCCTTGGAAAGTCATTTTGCATGTCAATAAGAGGCGGAGAGCCAGTGAGAGTTACTTGGGATGTCAATAACAGGAGAATCGCTTCATATATCATATGCAAAGATGGTTATTTTGCATATCAACAAGGCTAACCAGGAAGGTTTGCATAACTTTAACCCAAGAGGGCACTGGGAAGCAGCCCCCCTTCCCCAGCCTTACAGCGCAAAAGAGTCAGTAGGAGATGGGGTGGGGGGAATTCACTCAGGGGTTTAAAACCGGGGCGTGGTAGCCACGCTGGAGGCTTTGTGACCACGCGGCTTAGGAAGCAGGATGTGACTGGGAAGGGGAGACAGGGCTTGTGGGAGAGACAAAGGGACACAGGCTCTGGGGAACAATGTGAAGACCATGCGGGGAGAGGGGAGAAAGGACTCTTGCTCGTGGGCCCTGAGAAGGTGCCACGTGGTTCTGGACTAAGAACTGGAGATCGTGGGACGCGGCGGATGGTGCCGGGAACTGCCAGAGGCCTGCCTAGCCGAGCCCCGGGCTTCTGTTCTTTTTCTTCTGAAGGACGGTACCCCTGGCTGGGCGAAGGGGGGAAGGCAGGACTGTGTGTGTTGGTTGGTGTTTTAAATGGTGAGTGTTTTGAAAGTATTTTGAGATTTAAGGGCAACATTTAGCCATCATTCAAAACCTGTATAACTTTTGAGTAGATAGTTCCTTTCCTTTTCACCAAACTGTGCCTTTGAGAGCCATACTTTCAAGGACGGCGGGGGAAGGACCTGCAACCAAGGGACCCCGAGGAGGGGGCGGGGCATTGGTTTGGTAATAGCATCGGGCACCCCGCACCCAGGGATCCACTCTTAGGTAACACGCCCACCCGTGCAGGAGAAGCGTGTATCTCCACGTTTCACTCGGTGTCCACTCTCAAGATTCCCCGCTTTCCTTTCTTTCAC